TGAACTTCTCTGAAAGCTTCAACCTGGATAAATGAACCTGAAAAACCTAAATGAATGGAAAAATCTTATTTATTCAATTTAAATGAAAGAAAACGGACCGGTCGGCAAAGAAAAGAGAAAAGAAGAGCAAAGAAAGGTATCTATATAGGATTTATGTTCTATATAACTCTATATAACTCTATATAACTCTATATAACTCTATATAACCATGCATACTACAACATTCGATCAATAAAAATCCCACTAAAACCAGGAACCACCGCGTACCTGCTGAATGTATGATGTGAAACAAAACAAAAAAAAACACAAAACAAAAATCACACCACCAAGTAGAGTAAAAGAATAGGAGTCCCTAACCTACCTATGTAACTAAATTACCTTATGCCCTAGCCTACCTATATAATAAATTAATTTTTACCTCACCTACCTATGCTTCATTAACTTAACTCAAGACTCATGAAGAAAGAGAAAAAGGAGTAAAACAGAACATAAAATACTACCACACAAACAAACATGATGTATGTATGGATGTATGAGCAACCGTTAAAGAACCCACCTAAAATTAAAAAAATACCACCTACAAACATTCAAACCACCTACAAACATGCAAACTCTATATAACTCTATATAACACTATATAACTCTATATAACTCTATATAACTCTATATAACACTATATAACTCTATATAATAAAATAAATAAAAATAAAAAAATTTTAAAAATAAAATAATTGAGATCAGACAGACTGCTTCAAGCGAGGCAGAATGTCTGATCTGATTTTCATGTTGTCTCAGCTCCTCTATTTATACTCGTTTCAACCATACATTCTCATCATTTCAATCATTCGCATCAGTAAAAAACTTGTTAAATGTATATACTGCACTATTATACAGTTTTAACCACAATGCTAACCGTACTAAATTGAAGTCATCGAACGAACGCCTTCGAAACTTTCTGGTTGGCTGCTATATTGCTTTTCATATATATATATAATCTAATATAATATAATTTAATTATTTGTATGCATGGATTCCAGTCACTTTATATATATATATAATAAAAATTCAATTATAAAAGCAACAGTAATCAGTGCTATATATGTAAGCACGCAGTTCAAATTTTTCGGGGAGAATTCAAAATTGTTTGAGACCACACCCTGCTTAACATCCAATTACATCCAACATCCAAGCCAAGCTGAGCCAATATGCATAGATTTAAAAGCGCTTTTATGTTAATATTTTGCTCGCTATATTTATGTATTTTATAAATTCATTATAAAAAACAACAGTAGCCATTACTATATATGTACGCACGCAGTTCAAATTTTTTGGGGAGAATTCAAAATAGTTTGAGACCACACCTTGTTTAACATCCGATTCCAAGCCGAGCCAAGCCAAGCTGAGCCAATATGCATAGATTTATAAGCGCTTTTATGTTAATATTTTGCTCGCTATATTTATATATTTTATAAATTCATTATAAAAAACAACAGTAGCCATTACTATATATGTACGCACGCAGTTCAAATTTATCGGGGAGAATTTAAAATAGTTTGAGACCACACCTTGCTTAACGTCCGATTCCAAGCCGAGCCAAGTCAAGCTGAGCCAATAAGCATAGATTTATAAGCGCTTTTATATTAAAATTTTGCTCGCTTTTTAAACGAATATCCCAATATAACAAATTCTCCATCCTATTTTAACTTTCTTTGATGCTTTTTAATCAGTCAGGTCACAAAAATCATTATCGATATCGCAAAGAAATCAATTTGAAATTTTTTTTTAATTATTGATAAAATTTTTAAATTGTTGATAAAAATAACTTGTATATATAGTGTAGTAAAACGTTTAAAATTTTCTAAGAGAATTCAAAATAATTTGAGACTACGCCATAACACAATCGTACAATTTGAATGTGTAAATACAACATTATAAATGTATTATAACTACGTGTATATATCTATCTATCTCTTTATTTAGTTCTGCCTGTGTATGATATTTTGTCAAATTTATTTGATAGGAATTGAATATAACCTTTATACCGGCTGATTAACTACCATGCAGTAAAATAACTACTGTTGACACCATTTCCTCCAACGATTTCGCAACGAATTGCCCATACCGTATAATTAGAATAAACTCTTTCAATCAATGTTTAAATTTTTATATTGTCATTTATTCTTTCGTTTTTGTTTCTGTACCAATTTTCGTGCCAGATACAATAATTTATTTTTTAAGTAAATTTTCATTTTCGTAGCTATACACAAACATGCCCACCTGTTGCATTAAAAATTGCATTAATAATAAATAGAAATGAGAAAATTTCTGATGCATCTTTTCACAGGTTTATTTTCAAATTAACTTCACACTAAAATAAATGTAACAATATCCCTATACTCATTGAATAGAACTATTTTGTTTTACAATTACATATATTTTATTTTATAGACTATTATAATTTATAATGCTATCAAGGATTACCATTATATTAAAAGCAATACTTAAGAAATGCACAAGTTTCTGTAACAGTTTATAAAATTTCAGATTTCCTCAAAATGTAAAAATGCAAAACGATTGGATTAAGTGCATCAGACAGGAAATAAATGATTTCAAATGGCTTCCATCAAAAAATGCAAGAATATGCAGTGACCATTTCTGTAATAAAGATTATAAGGGTTATGATAGAGAAAGGAAGGTAATGCTGAAGAAAGCATTCCCATGTTTTCAAGTTAGTTATATTTATATGTCATCAGTTACACAAGGAAGCAATTCACATCATCATTGTACATTGCAACATTCTTATCTATACAAAAAATATAAAATGCATTCAACAATATTCCATATATTTTATTAAAACTTAGAAAGGGCATAATGACATTGTGAATAATAAACCCTGCTTAGGACTGGGATCATCATCATCATACCAATCACCATTACAAGTAGAGTCAATTTTATATTAATGCTTAACAGGTTAACTAAATTGGCATAATCAAGTTTTTATATGAAATACACATCAAGTATTTAAGGTAACAAATAAATTATCAGAAAAATTTCTGGAAAAGTTTAAAAAAATTAGAACATATGACTCTGATCAAAAATCATTCGCGTTGACACTGCATTTGTATGGGCATAAGGCATATGATTATCTTTGGACAAATGGCTTACATCTTCCTCACACTAGGACATTAAGAAAGTAATCTTGTCATACCTGTTCAATAACTTTAATAAGATTGTTTTAAATAACTATTCTCAATGTCATTTTATTAACACAACATTAAAAGGTGACTACAAAACATTAATGGTATGCCTGGGGTGATTTCTACAAACCTTATTGACTAATGGTGATGGGGATCCTCTGGAACTGTAGGCTCATGACATTCAATCTAGTCATGGATTGAGAAATCAATCCTTGATATATTTGATAATAAACATTTATTATAATATAAGAATGAAAAAAAGATGTAGGTGTAAGGCAAAATCTTACTGGAACTATTATTTCTAGCAATTTATGATTTATTTTTTATTTATGACTATTCATTTTCAATTATTATTCAAATTATACGCATGCATATATAAATTAATTTGATTCTGGCTATTTCTATGCTTAATCATTTTATTTACTTGCCATAGGTATGTGCAGCATTTAGTAAATTAATGATAATTAATAACACAACATTCTAACTGCATAAAGTATAATAAATTAAAAGTACAATTTCTACAAACCTCATTGGTTATGGTGATGGGGATTCTTTAAAACTGAATGATCATAATCTAACAAGTCATGGATTGATGAATTACTGGAATCACACATTATCTTTAATAAATTTAATAACAACATGTAATATAATTAAAGAATGAGAAATATTTTGTTAAACATTAAAAGAAAAAAAATTTAGTTTGAACCACTCATAATTAATAAATTTTAATTAAATTGCAACATTAGCTTGAGGAGCTTGAAGCAACAAAATTGTTTATTTTATAAAATTGATTGATAAGTTGTTTAATATATTTATTTAATTTAGTATATTTTTATTCCCAGACCTAAGCATTGTAAATAAAAATTTTACAACCAATCAAGCAATAGGATTTAGGATTTTAGGGACAAGTGCTGTTAGTGTAGTTAGTAGTGTTTGGTAGTCTCTAGTCTAGTATAATGCTAATCTGTTAATGTTCGTAAGTTCTATCTGTTATTTGTTTTAATTAGTAATTTGAATTAGTAGAGTTTAGTTTTAGCTTAATTATTAGAGTTTAGTAATTTAATTACTAATTAGTCGTCGTTAGTGTTGTTACGTTACAGTTAATCATTAACTTAACAGTTAATCGCTTAATTAACCTTAACGGTTCACGAGTCGAGTGTTAGAGTGGTTCACAAAATTTTTTTATTTAAAATGCAAAAACCGTCATACAGCAATATCTATCCTAAAACAGCATCCAGTATCACCTTTTAAAACATTTCAAATAATAGCAATATTCAAGCAATATTCCGAAATTAGTAAATATACGATCGCAATTTTAGACTTGGGCGATAAAAAATCACCCTCCAATTCTCCTCCGGAAGTAAGCTCCTTGTTCGACCATCAAAAATGAGCGAAGGCCGTTATATTTATTCTAATTATATGCATCAAACTAGCTGAATTCTAATGGTCAAGCTTTAAAAATGTAATGAGATTAATTACTAAAATGCACTTTTACAATTCGTGTTCGATCTTGTGATGTTCACTTACGTGATAGTTGATGTCGTTTCGCTACGTTACGTAAGAAAGAATTTGTCATAAAGTTACTAATTTCTTACTCAGTGTTTTTTATTTAAAAGTTTTGCTTACTGTTCACCAATTATTTAAATTCAATTTAGCTTAAAATTCATCTAAATTTGTATTTTATATAGATTTACAAGTTTTACCTTTTTGTTGGATTGGGTTGGTGGTTGATCAAATTAAAACTTAAAAGTCCAAACAAAACTAGTTTTTTAGTTATTTACTGAATAAATAAAACTTCAAAAGATGGAGTCATTGTACCACCAAACGAACAAACTGCTAATGGACGTCCAGAGCAGGTTGTCAGTTTTCGAAAAATTGCTATTAAATACTGGCAATGAGACGGATTCAAATGCAATGGAGATTCAAATAAAAGCCGACATCAACAAAATCTATGACAGCTGTGACCGATTGGACCTGATGGTCAACAAGGAACCACCGTCGAGGAAGGCCAATGCTAAGCTGAGAGTCGACCAAATCAAGTATGACTGCCGCCATCTGCAATCTGCTCTTCAGAATATAATCAACAGAAAGTTTGCTTTTTGAAATTCAATAATTGATTTAATTTTTTTTATTCATAGTAGTCAATTAACTAACTAATTAAATAGCTAATTAATTAACCAACTATTTAATTAATTAAGAGTGCAAAAGCAAGAAGAATCTCGAGCGAGAGAGATGTTACTAAAGCGAACATTCACAACAAACGATCCCGACACTTCCATACTGATAGACGATTCCTTACAGCACAACCAGAGGGCCCAATCTTCCATTAAAGAAATCGATGAGCTGATTTATACAGGTCATAGGAAAAAAAGTTTATTTATTATTTATTTATAAATATTATTAGTTTTATACTTTTTATTAAAATGTTGTTTTATAGTATATAATATATATATATATATTTATCAAAATATTCTGTTCAAAATAGATCCCTTCATGTCGCATCACATGCAATGTGCCTTTGTTTAGCCGTTAATGCGTCTTAATATAACTAAAAATTATCGAAAAAAGAATTAATAATTATTATAGTTATAGTAATAATTGTTATAATATTAATTATTTCACTAATCCCCCCCCCAAAAAAACAGGCAACTCCATACTATCCAACCTTAGAGATCAAGGCGGCATGTTAAAATCGGTGCAGAAGAAAGTCCTTGACATTGGGAACATGCTCGGCCTGTCGAACACCGTAATGAGAATGATCGAGCGTAGGACTAGTCAAGATTGGATGATTTTCTTTGGGGGCATGATAGTCACCTGCATTGTTATCATTGTCACTGTTCTGTACTTACGTAGGTAATATGGTTTATATATACTCCCATTAGTTAGGCAGGTTGATTAGTAGTAAAGATTTCTGTAAAATTAGTGAAATTCAAGTTGGTTGCGTTGGTTGTAATGTGAAGTTGGTCATATGTTTTTCGATTTATTTGCTTATTTTCTTGATTTAATTTATAAGGTTTGGTTTAGAAATTATTAATCTGTGTACAATTGTGGCCATAATTTATAATTCTCTGTTGTGTGAATTTGTGGCCATAATTCATAATTCTCTACTGTGTGAATTTGTGGCCCTAATTCATAATTCTCTGTCATTTTGTTTACCAGGAATTATTTGAACAATAAAATAATAATGACTTATTATTTATATAAAAAATATATAAACATATTGATGCGAATGGATAAAAAAGTCAATGCTATTTCTATCGTACATAACTATAGTACAATATGTTATGCTTGTGATGTATTTTTTTGAGATGTTTAGTGGCTGGTTCACCATTGTATCTCTCTCTCTCTCTCTCTCTCTCTCTCTCTCTCTCTCTCTCTCTCTCTCTCTCTCTCTCTCTCTCTCTCTCTCTCTCTGTCTGTGAGTGTGTGTGTGCGTATACACATACACATGTTATTAACATTGGAATTCCATTTATTTATTTATTGTGAGTCAGTAGTAGATTGTTTTTGCTAGATCACATGTTTTTGTGTGCATGTTTGTATGTGTATGTTTGTGTTTGCGTGTGTTTGTATGTGTATATACGTGTGTATATTTATTTTTCGTTATATTTCTTCCGATTTAAACTTTAAATGGAATAAATTAAGGCAAATTTATTTTTGTTCTACATAAACTTTTGGTTTAAATGTCTAAATGTCGAAAGAAAAACTGATAAAACATATTCTTTCTTTCTCCTCTCTCTCTCCTCTTTCTCTCCTCTCTCTCTCTTTCTCTCTCTCTTTCTCTCTCTCTCTCTCTTTCTCTCTCTCTCTTTCTCTCTCTCTCTCTCTCTCTCTCTCTCTCTCTCTCTCTCTCTCTCTCTCTGAAATGTTACTCTAGAATTATTCTGTAAGTATTACAACGCCTGTGTATATAGTCGCTGATGTATGTATATATCAATACATGATATATATATAAACGTTAAATGGACAATGAATTCAATATCTGTAATATAATCAATACATTCTCGTCAAAAATTCAACTTTTTGTGTCTTGATGAGTGAAAGAATGAACGAATGAGTGCATGAACGAATGTATTATGAATAAAGGAATGAGTGAATAGATGAATGACTAGATGAATGAATTCATAAGCCTAAGAAAAAACTTAGCAAATAGGTAAATTTAATATTGCATATGTACAGATGAGTGCTTAAATCTATGTATCAATAAGAAATATAACAGGAGAATATTGACACATTGAAAAAAAATCAAAAAATCTTAAAAAATAAATTAATTTAATGTGTTAGGATAAACTTTTCCGTTGTTAAAATTAACGCTGTTTAAAGTGTATTACTTGCCACTATTAACTAACGCAATATTAATGCTTTTAACATCGTTGTTAAAGTTTCAATCATCACCTTACATCATTTAAAATTATTATTTTTTTGTCTGTCTGCTCATATTTTCATTTTAAAGAAAATATTTTTACTCATCGTCATCAATATCATCATCATCTTTGAATTACCATCCTTCATTGTTATCACTTCTCACCGAAATGCATATCTAGCACTAGTTGTAGTAGTAGTAGTAGTAGTAGTAGTTGTTGTTGTTGTAGTAGTTGACGATTATGTCGTTGATGATGATGTTTTCGCTTTGGATGATGATAATGACGATGACGATAATGCTTCATCTCCATAAGAATATGATGTGTAATTGGGGTCATCATTAATCTCCTGGTAAACAAAAATTCATTCATTTGTTAGTTCATTCATTCATACATGCATACATTCATTCATTCATCAATTCATTCATCACAACCTTGTAAGATGCCTTCATATCATCACCAGACGTAGTCACAGACTTATAATCTTTCAAATAATAATTATAATTAATAATAATAAAAAATTATTATTATTAACTATTAATAATAATTATCAATAGGTTTAATATTATGGTTATTTATGTTGTGTTTCCTCTGTACGTAGATAGACATTTAAAAAAAATGTAATCGAACCGTATGGCTTCTTAGCGCAGTTTGAATAATCTCGAGTATGTTGCATATTAATTTTCAATTTATCTGTTGAGATTTTTATAGAACGAAAGGCATCAAAAAGAAATTTTTTGTGAAACAACTACAACATCAACACGAACACAACAACATCAACACGAACAACATCAACATCAACACGAACAACAACATAAACACGAACAACAACATCAACACAAATAACAACAACCACACAAAAAGAAATAATAAGTAAAATAAGAAGAATAATAATAACACCAGTACTATTAACTAACCAAATTCATCCTCATAGTCGTCCTCACCATCCGGATCCTCCCTACTCATCAGAGAATTCTTCCTCGAGTCAAAGGTCATCGCACTTTCCGACATCGTCATTATATTACCGCCACCATCGTTTCCCACCATCCCTTCGTCATCAGTGACGTCATCGCCATCTTTCTCGATGGGTATTTTTAGATTACTGGTTGCTGCTGCTGATTTTTGCATCTTGTTGCTGATGATGAAGCGTTTCTTCTGCCCGTTTTCACCCGGCTTGATCAATTTCTGTCTGGCACACCTGCGAGTTGTGTAAGTTAAAAAGAGATACTTCGAGGTAATACTTTTAAGACGTGCAGTTGAGTATTCAGTAGCATACACTCATGTATCTATGCGTACAACCATTTATTTACTCACAATCACGTATCTATGTAGGTATATATTTACGAAAGTTAACTGATTTAATTGGCATTATTTTATCAAGGCTTCTTACATCACGTAGTTCGTTTAAACAATATTTCTCTAGGGAATTCACATGTAACGCTGATAGATTTCCTAATATAGGCTAAACGAAATGTCATTAAGGCCAATCTAACTACACACTTACATAAAACTTGATGAGAGTTTAGTTAAATAAATAATTATGACCTTGATCAACCTAAAAGTCAAACACTCACACAGATATCTATCAACTCATCAACGATTACGTCAAAACACACGTGACCTACTTGGGGCACGCCATTCCCCCGGTGACCTCCTCAATGGAGAAGCAGCCCCTAGGCCCCCCTAATCTAGCGTTCAGTTTATGCTTGTACTCACAGCAAGTACTCAACCTCGTGTTGTACGTTCCATTAACGTACAACGTCAAACTGAATGGGAAGCCTTCGTGTCGCTGCGACGTGAAGCTTAGTGTGGCTGGTGTGGTTGCGTTTTGTATGTGTGTCAGTGTGTGTGTGTGTGTGTGTGTGCGTGCGTGTATTTGTTTCTACACGAGTCTATGTATGTATGTGAATGTCTTGTGGTGTGTCTGTATATTCAGTGTGCTAGTGTATTTGACTGTACGAAATTGCCTGAATGATACAAACAAACGAGCGAAATTGAGATGTAAATACTGGCAAAATGTACACTGATGTAGTACAACAAGAAGTAAGTACACTTGAGTAAATTTGTTAGTGTACTATGAAGTGTACAACGTATCAATACCTCCAGGTACTAAGTTGTCACTGAACACGCAGACTGCATTTCCTCCACAGTGTTGTTGTTCTATTAGTATCTCATCAAATTTTTTTCTGTCTGTAAGTCTGTCCATTTTGTTGTTGTTGTTATTGTTGTTGCTGGTAGTGGTGATGTCATCGAATGTTTTTGCTGTCACCGATTTATTTTTTCGATTTTTAGGTGTTCTGTTGTTGTTGTTGTTGCTGCTGCTGTTGTTGTTTGTATCAATCCCATGGTATTTCATTTTAATCAGAGTTAAGCTTTTGTCAGGGTGTTTTTTCTATGGGGAATTATCAATTAAGCAATTCATCAAGTGAGTGGAAACAATGGATTGTATTAATGGCTATTCTCATCAATATCCGTTGAAATTTTCTATAAAAATGAAATACTCTCACCTGATCGTGCGACACATATTCGCACATAGATGAACACCTCACACTCGAATTTGTCCTTGACCTGTTCAGTGACCTCACTGACCTCACGGAAGACCTCGACATTGGCATACTTGACCTCAAAGTCGGTCTAACGAAACTCTGACCGCGGCTGTTGCTGCTGTGGTGATGTAATATTGAGAGATTCAGACGCCCTTTGCTTGCAGGTGGTGATAAGTTCTTCAGACTAGAAAAATTTCCGTGTTTGTGGTATGTATTGCTGGCTCTATCACGTTTCTTAATAACAATAGAACCGTCAAAAATATAAGGCATTCTCAACATCTTTGGGCTTTTGTTTGACTCTACAGACTGAAAGTTTGAAAACAATTTTGTGTATACTTTTTTTAATATGAATTTTGTTTATTTTTAATCAAATATATCAGAACTATATTTAAATATTAATTATATTTGATTAAATATAATGCGATGAATATCTAAATTTATTCTTGAAACCTGTATCATTTGCAGCAAATCAATCTCGTTCTTCTTAGCAACTAAATCTCCAACCAATTTTTTCTGTTCCTCATTCAAATCGTCATCCTGTTCTAAAATTTTCATAGAAATCTGGGCATTTTTCATAATTTTTTGCTCTAGAGAAGCTTTTTTTCGTATCTCGCCTTCTGGCAAAATTTGGCCAGTTTTGGTTACCTGTATTAGGAAAAAAACGAAATTTTATAAAAATTATGCAAAAATAAAGATGACAGAATGAATTGTATAGATAAACTAATGAGTAGATGAATCAATGAATGGATGAAATAATGAATGGGTGAATTAATGAATGGATGAATTAATGACTAAACAATTTTTTTCATATACGAACCAGACCAGCGTTAACAAGATGTTTGATCCTTTTGGGACTGCTATTAAACGCCGTCATGTGTGGATCTTTAAAGACATCGTACTTCATCATGTCTAACAATATTTTATCAGCAAAATTTATTTATTATCAAAATTTATAAAATCATTTTTTGAAAAACAAAAAATTGAGTTAATTATGAAAAGGCGAAAAATCAGCTGACAATTTTGTTGTCATTTTAATAACGCGGTTGTCAAGACAACGGGCACCTTAGAGCAAAGACAATTTTTTCAAATAAGATCGAATTAACTTAAATTGCTAAAAAATTTTCCTTTCATTATGTACGTATCTACTTATCTACTATCTACCTACCTACCTACCTATCTATCTACCTATCTATCGATCCATATACAACCAATTATCTATTTTAATTTTCTTTTTGATTTAATAGTTTATAAAATAAATGATTAAAAGAATAAATAAAAATTATTTATTTATTGATTCATTGCAGCATCTTCCAAACAAAATAGAAAAAAAAATTGACTCAAAGAAAATTAGTTTAAAAATAAAACTTGAAACAAAACTCGAGGACAATTCTTAAACAAAGCGTCAGTAAATAAAAACATGCAAACATAATAAAACCATTTTAATCATCAATAATAAAATCACTATCATCATCATCATCATTGTCATCATCCTCATCATTTTACGAGCAAAGAACACAATGAGCAACATCATCATCTCCATCACATCCAGTTTAATCAATACATCAGCAAACAAATCACCGTTAGCAAAAATTATGGTAACAAAAATTCAATAAAACCTTTATCTCTCTCTCTCTCTCTTCCATTTTGTCTCTTTTTTTTTCTAAATACATATACACACACTATATATATATATATCCGTGTATCTCTCTCTCTCTCTTTCTATATATATATATATATATATATATATATATATATATATATATATATAAACCCGTTACTATTAATTATTAAGTAACATAAGCTATCATATTTATTAGTTTATAATTTTTTATAAAAATTAATTATATCTATTAATACTGAATTACATTATTAATAATATAATACAAATATTAAGCCCAGAAAGTTATTTAGCCAAAAAAACCCACAACAGCTAACACACACACACACGCTGGCACACACACACACGCTGGCACACACACACACGCCACATACAAACATTCAAGCAGCAAATGATAAAATGTTAATTCAAACTTTACGACTAACACGACAGGGTATAAGCAAACAACAAAACACAACAATGCCTCTATCAGTATCTAAATCACCATTATTATATTTATTATTTTAATATTTTTAATATAGTTTTTTATCATAATTATAACCATAATTAATATATGATAAAATTTTATTCATAATAACATTAATATAAATACGAATGGCGCTCAGTAAAACGATTTCATTGAATAAGAAAAAAAACGCTATAAATGTTCTACTTGCATGGATAATAGACATAAACGGAAACGAAACGAGAACGAAACGAGACGGGATTAAACGTAACGAGACGGGATGAAAACGTAACGAGACGAAACGAGATGAGCGTGTGATCATTCAAGGAAGAGCAATATGACAGGTGGTGGTGGACAGAAATGAGTGTGAGAGCAGTGTTCATCGTTTTGCATATCTCAGTATGAAGTCAGTGACCTTAGCTTTGAAATCGTCCTGTTGGTGTTTATAGGTGTGTGCGAGTGCATGCGTGTGCGTGAGTACGTATTTGTGTTTGCATCTGTGTGCGTGATTTAATTTGTTGGTGTTTTATAGATTTTTAAAAGTTAATTTAAAAGGAATAAAAAATAAAAAAAAAGTCATACAGAGTTTCTTTTGTAATGATCTGCTGCGTCAACATTGAGAGGGTCTTCAAAGTTCAAGAGATCCTGATTATTGTGGTGTCTCTTTCATATATTCCTTCATTTGTCCATTCGTTCATTCATTCATATATTCACTCACTCACTCATTCGTTCGTTCGTTCGTTCATTCAATCATTCATTCGTTCGTTCGTTCATTCATTCATTCTTTCGTTCGTTCGTTCGTTCATTCATTCACTTGCTAGTTCGTTTATTTATTTGCTCATCCGTTCGTTCATTCATTTATTCATTCATTCCGTCAGCCATCTATTCAATCATTTTTTTCATTTGAGGTTAAAGATAATGATGATACAAACAAATGATACATTGATACTACTACAAATAAATAATAATAACAATAATAATAATAACAGTGAATAGGGAGTTTAGTCCCCAGACCACGTCTTTCAGCGTTCTTGTTGGGGCCCAACCTAAAATTAGTGTGAACATTTATTTGGAGGTTTCAATCAAAGCCTCATCCATCACTACCTACGTCACCACACACAGACACACATACACATACACACACGCACACACACATCTTTAAAACAGCACGATATCCCAAAAAACCTACAAAAAAAGCTAAAAAACACAGCCAACCAACCAATCCCACCTAAACTATCTAGAGAGTTCTGCCTGAGCAACGACAAGCACACCTCTCCGCCTTCTGATATGTTTGGGTGCCATATTCTCGTTTTGCAATGTACTTTTGGAGGCTGTAGTAACAATAACAATAACAATAATAATAACAATAACTAAACAATAACAAACTACAACAATAACATTGACAACAACAACAAAACCGACCACGATGTTATAATCTTCAGGAACGTCGATGTGAAACCTGAAATGCCCTCCTAACCAAAAACCTTCGTCTGGACAGATTGTGATCGTGAAATCGTGCAGTATGTTAGGGTCCTCGAAGTTTGAGGTGCACGTCTTAGGTAGGTACTGCTCCATCTCTTGCACTTCTGGTAAAAAAGTGGTGGGGGTAGGTGGTTACCGGTAAAAAAGTATCAGTGGTTTAAGCAAAAAAGATAGTAGTAATTAATGATTACTGATGAAAAACTAATAGTAATAACTGAAGAAAAATTAATAATATTAGATAAATATTGATGAATAAAATAAGTAATAATGGAAGGCCATCAGTGAATGGTTGCTGCAATAGATGAAACATTAGTAATAATTAATTAATTAATTAAATAAAAGAAAAGGTATTAGTGATGGTAATCTTTAATACAAATAGAACTACTATATTTTTTAGTATTGATAGCAGTACCTCTAAGTAGAAGTTTGTCTCTAATTGAAATTCTTGAACTTTTTGAAGCTTCAGGGCTCGTCGAAAGTTTTGACTTCAAGTTCAACATTGTCTGCCTTTTCAAAATTTTGATTTAAAGATAAAAAAATTATGTGATTCACTAAGAAGAGTAGTAATATTTTGTTTTTTTTAAAGATAAGGTAAAATGATCAAAAAATACAAACGAATCACATCACTTATCATTTGTCATGCAAGTTATAATCAAACTGTTAAAATAAGACTAATTATCTTCTGCCAAATAAAACGAATGTTAAATTAAAATTAGTGAAAAAAATGAAAAGCTACTGGACTGCTGAAGACAGACAGCCTGTGTAAGAGTCAGTGTCTGTAGTATGTAAAAGTAAAAGTAATGTAAGTAATCCTAATTTTATCAACTTCTAAAACTTTCTTCAGAGCTAATAAAATATTATTTTATAAAACCGTCCTCAAGTTTATGTTTTTATTTAATTATTTTATTTAATAAAAAACTTTGTTAATATTTTATTTAATTTATTAAATTCATCGATTTAAATTATACGATATTAGAGTTTCTAGATGTTTACATAGATGGCTTAGCAAATATTAGACAAACTAAATGGTTAGAACGAATTTTAAACTTTAGTTTATAGCAACATCGTTGACCATTTCAAGAATTTTTCAATGAAGACAAAAAGTATTCCAAATTATTAAAAACTCATTCTTTTCATCGCATTCAATGAAATTTATAGAGAAGTATGGCCAGGCTGATCTGTCTTCACCCTGACGTCATTAATATATATCATTACGTCATCGGCATGTCTCATTTAAGACCTAATCTTCATCCTCGAAGGTTTAAATCCTTACGGTGAAAATGATTCTTCAAATAGAAAAAAGAAAAATATGAACAGTTTTGTTTAATCTGTGGTTTTTGAAAAAAAAAAATAAAACAAAAATGGAGAAAATTATAAGAAACTACGATGCATAATTACGCGCTAATAAACGAACAACCAAACAAACAATTTAACGAACAAACAAACAAATAAACACAAACAAACAAATACATAAAACATTATAAATAAACAACAGTAAAGAAACCGAAACTACTAATAAATAATACTACAGCAATAACCTTTGAACAGAGGTGGACAAACTTTTCGCTATGAGGGTCGTATTGAGAACTATTTTACCTTTGAAGGGCCGCATATGAAAGGGCCGAACAAGGCCTCGCGGGCCGTAGTTTGCCCACCCCTGCTTTAGTACAAGTAACAGTTTTTAATAATAATAATAAACTAATAATAATAACAATTATTATTAGATAAGACAAATGAAAAGAAAAAGCATAGTTATATAAATAAAAAAATACTGGCTCTTACAGTAGCGACATTAATGATAATTGCTTAATTAAGTTATCGTTAACAGCCCAGACATAATAAAAACAGACATAATAAAAATAATAATAACATACATAATAACAATGATAATATTTATAATGCTAATACTAAACTTAACTTTATATTTATTTTTTTTGTTAAATTTAATAAAAAAAAGCAATAACATACATTCATAAATACATCGCTATAATAATAAAAAAAAAGTTACAAGAATTAGGAAGTCCAATCAATTAATTAATTAAGTAAATAATTAATTGAGTTATTAAGAAGCAATCCAGTCAATTAAGTAATTAATTAACTCTAATTAATTTAAAAGCAAAATAAATAAGTGAATAAAAGAATATAAAAGAAACAACATCTAAGCAAAAGAGTCAATTAATTGTACGAAATACAAGCCAAAATTGAAAATAATTTGATAAAAAATTATATTAATATACATATATATATATATAATTATATATATATATATATATATATATATATATATATATATATTAGTATATATAGGTATAATAAAATTATGATGATAATAGTTCTAGCAATCAAACAAGAGAACGAATTAATCACCTTGATGGGTCATTTTAATGTATTGACGGTAACAATAATGACAACAACATCTATAATAATTATAGCATTAATAATAATAATAATTGTTATAAAAACAATAACAAGTAGTTTAGTGAAAATAAGTTTTACAAGTGAAGTGAAATGAACAAAAGTGAAAAAAAATCACCCACAAAACTTCAAGACAAGAATCGAACTATAGTACAACACCAGAACATTGATCTGAAAGCAACCATGCCGTCCCCATCATCATTATAGATAAAAAAAATAGACACAGGAACCGGATAATTTCTGTATCCATGAATTCTCATCCATCGCTCACCTGTCAATCAAAATCTACCCAGAATAAAACACAAGAAAGGTTACACACACACACACACACACACCCACACACACATACACACACACCCAGAAACACACACACAGAAACACATACACGCACACACAGAAACACATACACACACACCTCACATCCAAAAAAAATCTTATAATTGAAAAGAGTAGGTAAGTTAGAGCGATATTTTACTCTACGTATTCACGATTAAATTTGATAAGAAAAAATTTTTCGCACACACACATAACACACACACACAGAAACACACACACAGAAACACATACACACACACACAGAAACACATACACACACACCTCACATCCAAAAAAAATCTTATAATTGAAAAGAGTAGGTAGAGCGATATTTTACTCTACGTATTCACGATTAAATTTGATAAGAAAAAATTTTTCGTACAGAAACAACAATTTTCTTATACACACATATACACGCATCATTTTTGATAGCTATATAGATTTACAGATCAAAATGAAAAACAAACAGACAGACAGACAGACAAACAAACAAACAGACAAACAAATAAATGAACATAGACGAAATGAGGTAAAATAACGAATTAGTACGTAATCTACTACTAATGTAAATTCATTTATCATCCCTAGATAGATAAAAATATATACAGAAACAAGTTTTGTTGTATCTATGTCATGATGAAGATAATAACAATTCGTGTAACGTTTAAACAACAACAATGATATAATATAATTTATATACATACGCATATAGCAGATACCTATATATACATATATATATATATATATATATATATATATATATATATATATATTATTAACGTATTATACATAAATACACACTTACACATACCTATACATACATACACACATGTATGATGTGTATATGTATGTTTAAACACTTATATAATAGTTTATAATACATTAATACATAGTGTATACATTAGTACGTATTATCAGGACGCACGCACGCACACATACACACACAAAAGCACACATACACACACAAAAGCACAAAAACATACACACACAAAAGCACAGACACGCAAATACACATACACACACATACGTGATGAAAAATAGATCATAATGTTAGAGAAGACATTTTTAGCGATAATCCGCTTTGTTTTTCCTTTAATAAATCGTTCAAAAAAATTTACAATGGAGAAATATAAATACTAAATACTCTGCCAGGAAAAAAGTAATAATATAATGAACCGGTAATTTTAAACAACTAATAAACCCGTAGAGTTATATAAAATATATATACTAAATATCTATCTATTACATACATTTACGTAATCATACACATACACACTCTCTCCATCTCTCTCGCTCTCTCTCTCTCTCTCACACACACACACACAAAACACACACTCACACACAAACAAAAGACACATCCACACACACAAACAAAACACACACACACACACACACACACATACACAAGGGATAAACGATTAAATACGTAAGAGCGTTATAATTTATAAAGATGACGACGATATAGAAACTTGAAATAAAAACACGACATCCATAAGTATACTACAACTGATTTTAATTTTGAAAATTTTATTTACAAGAACTTGTGGAATTAGTAAATGAATGAATTCTTTGAATGAATAATTGAATCAGATGAGAATAAAGCAGAACTAAAAGGTTCGTAAACTTCTTACAACAATACAATATAACAACGTGTAAATAAATACATACTAATACAATCAACATACATCGAGAGAAAGAGAGAAAGTGAGAGAAAGAGAGAGGGAGGGAGAGAGAGTGAGAAATAAAAATAGAGAGAAAAAAAAGAGTTAGAGAAAGATAGAAACAGAGAGAGAGAGAGAAAGAGAAAGTTTTTGATCATCACTTTGATGATAACAAAAGTACAATTTCAATGAAATAAATATTATTATCGGTAAATAAAATCAAACTCATATGTATTTTTACATAGTAATATGTATAGTACACACACACACACACGCGCGCGCACACACACACACACGCACACACACACACACACATATATATATATAATGTTACAAAGACAGTGAAGTGATAAACAATAAATACGCATACATACACACATGTACATAAATACGTACGTTGGAAAAACAAAAAAGAAATGATACAGAAATATTTACAAGAAGTGATGACGATGTTGATGATGGTGACGACCACCATCGTCATTGTCATCATCGTCATCTGCATCACTTCCATACTTACAAGATCTTCATAAATGACTAACATTTGTCATAATCATTGTCATCATCTCATCACCCACAACTTATACTGATAATCATCATCACTATCAACACCGATATCATCATCATCATCATCAGCACATATAATTCCTCCCTCCATTAGCAGCAGCAGCACCAGAAGTCACAGTACTCGCGACACCATTCGACATCGGCATAGCTTGAAGAAACTCGTCAAGAAATTGCAGGGGCCGATTCAACTGCACCTCAATCCAACAGGGCGTGTCCTTTATAGTCGGTCGTGGGTAGTCCAGACCCCAGCCCTTCACAAAACTTAAACGTAGCACGCACAATCGTCTGAGATCGTCGGCTCCAATGCTTGCTGCCGGTGATAAACCTGTGATGCGTGCGTGCGTGTGTTTGTGTGCGTGTGCGACTATGTGTTTGAGTGCACGTGTAAGTATGTATTTGTATTCAAGTGTGTGTATGATTGTAGGTATTGAGTAGCTTAAACAGTAAAAGTATTGAGTAATGAAAAGTACTTGACAATTTATTCACGATCAATTTATTTTTCAAACATCCGCCAATCAAACAAACGTTCCTCCAGCCAAGCAGCCACGACCCAACAAGCAAAGAGAGGCACGAACTGATAGCAGGAGCCAACGACCCAACACTATTTGGGCTCTGAAAGTTGCCGGCGACGACAGCCGCCTGGGCCACAGCAGCCGTCTGCGCCTGAACCACCAGTTGCTGCATTTGACTCTGACACTGACTTAAATCGAATACCTGGCAAAAATGGTTACAATGATGGTGACGGTATGATGACGATTACACACGTACACACACACACACATTCACTCACACACTCACAATTATGTACACACACGTACACACACACACTCACAATTATGTACACACACTCACACACATACACACACATACACACACAAACTTTAATGAAAGCAGCGGGATAAATCTTATGAACCGCATCTCCTGGTGCTCTCCCTGCCTCTCTGTCCAGGTAGAAACTCTGAACGAAAATGCTGTGCTCACTGAGACACCTCACCCACACATCACCCTCTCCTTCTAACACCAGCTGCACCCCTTTGCCAATGTATAACCTTGTGTGTGTGCGTGTGTGTGTGTGCGCGTGTGTGTGTGTGTGTGCGTGTTAGCATTAGTGTGTGTTGGCATTAGTAGTTTATAGTTGCATGCAAAATATGTACACGGATAAGTTTGTGTTGCAAGGGGACCATATTTTGTAGAGTATGTATGAATTCTACCGAATTGTTGGCATTAATCAATTTAAGGTTTGTCTTTTCCTTACTAGAAAAATCTCCCAAATAACTGCAACCATAAATAACAGCAATTGTAAAATAAGGAAGACAAACAAACAAGCCAGCCAGGCAACCAGACAAACAAACAGACAGACAAACCGACAAACAAACCAACCTTGCTTTTTCAATTGATTCAGTTCTGTGAACGTTTGTTAACTTGCCCAAACAAAACCTAAACGAAAAAAATTTACAAACAAACAAACTCATCATACTAACCACAGCTATATGAAAGACGTAAAATTCTCTCAAACACATACACATGGTTTGAAAAAAGAGTTTACAAAGCAATAACTTATGATAGATAGAAATCTACTGCGTAGTTGAACCTGGTCTCTTCAAGACAGCCACAGGCAGCTAAACTAAATAAGACTGCCAACATAATTCTAACCTATCCAGACTAGATGGATCCGTGTATCCGTCAACTGAGATTGTGTGATTCGACGATGGAACTTTGAAGATCTCACCTACCTTTTGATCCAGTTCAAAGTAAGTTATGCTGCACCAAAATTCTGGTACTGGGTGAATGAATGAATGAATGGGCGAATGAATAAATGAATGACTATGTAAGTAACTGAAAAAATGGATGAATGAATGATTGAGTGGATGGATACGCAAATGAATGAATGAAAGAGTGATCGGGTATAAAGTAGATAGTGAAAGTGAAATAAATAATGATAATGGTGGATTTTACAATACAAACTTTGAAACAAACACAAATACAACTACAGACACAAACACAGATAAAAACAAATAGACGAACAAACGAACAAACAAACAAACAAAAAACTATGTTACAAGGCTTATGAGATGATAACTGTGGGATAGGTCTCATCAGAGCTGAGTGTAATTCATTGGGCTGAGATGACCCTTATGAATATTAATGAGGTAGTATGAATAGTTTATCAATAGCAATTATTATCAATGAATATTACACAAATCTTTCTCATCTAATATTAACATAATCTATGCATAAATTATGCAAATGAACTTACATAAATATTCATCATCGCCATTGTAACTGTGGTGACCAGGAGAATATACGTTGCTGTTAGCTGCTACAAAAAATGGTAATACATATACAATTACACATAATTTATTCAACATTTATTCAATCAGCTATTAGTACATATAGACAATTGGAACTAAAAACAACAAGAAATATAAAATGACAGGTTTTATGATACAAAATTTCAGCTATTTATAGTGGTCCTGATATAAATTGATACATGATACAAATATGATACAAATTGATATATGATATGATACAAATTTTAGTTATTTATAGTCGTCATCATTATGATCATCATCACCGTCATCAGCATCTTGGCCATTTATCAAAATGAGAAATATCAAAATTAAATCTTGCCAGAAAAAATTATTTTAAAATTTTAGAAACCTATAGCTGGTGAGGACAGAGAACTAGGTGAAGTAATATTTTCGTGTTGCTGATGTTGTTGCAACATGTTTATTTGCTGCTGTTGTTGTTCAGCTGCTATGAAGTTGTAACTGGCTGACGTCGTCGGAGAGCTGTTGTGAAACGAATGTTGTAGCTGTTGCAGGCTACCGCTTGGTGAATTAGCAGCTGATAAGGACGTTGTTGTGGCGTCTGCTGTTGTCGTTGCTGAGGCCTTTTGGCTTTTATCTGTTGATAGGATGAATCTTATATGTTATGTACTTTAAAAAAAGCCTTAATTCAACTATTTTTTGCCACATTTTTCTTAGCCAAATAAAATTTAAAAAATTACCTGAACCATTTAAACTTTTACCAAAGCATTTGTTAAAAAAAAATCAACATAAATATAACTCAATAAAATAGCCAAAAATAAATTCACTATATTTTAAAATCTATCTGGTATAAACTAGTAGAAAAAAAATTGTAATTTTATCAACAATGAAAAAATCATTCCCATACTAACAACTATTAGCAGTGTTATTATTTTTCGTCAGATCAAAGAGATCAACCTTGCTGTCTTCGGGATCTTTGGTAACCTTGACGTCATCATGGTGACGACTGTTCACCATGGAGGATGATGACGTCGAAGACGACGATATCCTGTTTGCTGCCTGATCAACCATGTAACTTGATTCTGTGTTTGAACATTACCATAATCATCAGTAGACGTTATGACTGATTATGACAACCATACAAATTCATCGTCATCAACATAATCATCTTCCCCTCCTAAGAGGAATTAAACTCTAATAAGAATAACTCGAGGGAAAATAACTAGAAATGTAAAAGAACTTTGATCTATTTATTCAAATGTGCATCTGACAGAAATGACTGTGAGAATTCAAAAGATAACATTGGATGTACTATGTCAAATGAGTGAACGAGAAGGAGTGAGAGAGAGAGAGGAACAGAGAGAAAAAAAGAATGGGAGAGAGAGAAAATATAATGCAATGAAACAAAATGTCACACAATGTTAAAGCTTTCTAGGCAATTTTTAAGCTTTATCAAGGCTATTAATATTGTTTTTTAAAAGAGTCCTTTTTTAAAAGAACAAATCAATAATTTATAACCACAGTAAAAACTAATAATTTAATTAACTGAAATATACACACACACATATATATATACATAAGCATATATATATATATATATATATATATATATATATATATATATATATATATATATATATATACATACGTATGTGTGTGTGTGTGCATGTGTGTGTGTTTAATTGAATATAGTTAAAAACCTGGATAGGATTGAATGGTGAGTCCGGAAAGACCTGTAAGATCTACATGAAACAGATCGAAAAAAAACATTTAACTGTTTGAAATTTTATATTATATTTATTAATTTATTTATTATTAATTTAACAGACAAACAAACAAACAAACAGACAAACAATCAAGTTAACAATCAACCAAACCAATAAACAACCAACCAACCAAACCAACCAACAAACCAAACCAATAAACCAACCAACCAACAAAACCAACCAACCAAACCAACCTACCAGCCAGCCAACCAACCCACTCACTCACCAAACAACCAACCAACCAATCATAAAAACAACTCACATCCACCAACCTAATCCAGTGGGTGGGACGCGTTCATAATGATAAGGATTGACGCAGATGCCATCTTGCTTCAGGTCGAACGCAAACTGACAGAACTTCAGGTGCTTCAGCTCATTCTTATGTACGTCGGGCCATCTCCATATCCGAGAGTATATGACGTGGGGAAAACCTTTTCGACTGGCCACCTGGTGACAAAGAGAAAAAAGTACATGACAGAAGGAAAAAATTTCAAACGAAAATTAAGTACCTACCTGTAGTCTGCCGTCCAGCGTCCTCGGTATGGTGACACATTTCGTTGGCTGACTTCCATTTGATGTGATAGCTGCGATCAAGTTGTCCAGCTCCTCCCTCTTCTCCTTCAACTTCTTCACCAGACTTTCTATGGCCTTCTTTGAGAAACCTGCCTCTGCATCCTCACCCTGTCAAGAAAAATTTTGGAAAAAATAAATGAAATTTATTCTCTTTATTTAAATCTAATAAGGATATTATTTTCTTTCATATGTATTTTCATACTGAATAAAAAATAAAAATAAGACAATTAAGTGTGAATGATTAATTTGTGTAATTAATTAATTAATTTAAATTAATTAAATAATTAATTTGCTAATTCAATTCTGTCAGAAATGTAAATTTGAACTACACCGGCAAACACTAGCAAACAAGTTAGCATGGCAAACTTGGAATTAAGTAATAGAATTAAAGAGTAATTATTAAAAAATGTATAATTTAAAGAAAAAAATTAAAAAATAAGGCTGAAATATAAAATTTAAAAAAGTAGAACAGGATTTGGAAATTTAAAAGTTAATTTAAAAATCAATCATTGTAACCTGTCTGTAGAACATTAAACTCTGCACAATGTTGATGCATGCATCACTTGAGGTCGGTGCCAGATGGTTCATTTTGGCACCTTCTTACTATTCTCCTCCAACCTTCTGTGCTAACTTCTCTGTTTCTCTAATCAGGCCTTAATCACAAATAAGAAGTCCTATCTGAAATATCAATGAAAAAATATTAAGAAAAATTATATATATTAATTTTTTAAATAAATTTTTACACTTAACATAATAACAAATCAATGATGTTTTGAAACTTTTTTATTTTAACTAAATTATTTAAAACTAAATAATACTGAACAAAATTAAATAATGCATTGACAAGGCATGCATAATGATGAACCAATAAATTGAATAAATCATATCATTAAATTACTGATTACAACGACTGTGGTTTGGTTATAATCATTGGTTATAAAGTCATAAATTAATAAATCATCACTTCAAAAAGTACAATTAATAGTTTTTCTTTTGTTGATGAAGAAGAAGAAATAATACATGCAAATCAATCAGACAAAAAAAGTTGATTAGGCCTTACCAAAATTCTACAATCAAACAAAAATTAAATTTAAAAATTTCACTGAAAACTTAAAGCCTTCAGTTTAAAAACTAATTTTCTAACTTAACTAACTTGTGTGTTGTAAGTACAGTGCAACTACAGCTACAGGTGCTGGCCTTTTTTAACCAAGTAAGAGAAGTGAAAAGTCTTTATAAGTTTATAGTTTATAAGCAACTAAAAAACAGGAAAGAAAATCCTAAATAAAAATGATTTCGATTCGAATTGTTAAAGTCACACCAGAAAGAGAGAGAAAGAGTCCAACTCCTCAGACTCCAAGCAACCAAAGAACAGAATTCTTGGCACCAGTCCTTATTCAGCGACCCGCAAGCGACGCAACCATCACAGTTTTCAATAAATTTTTAAATTTTACAACAAATTTAAATTGTCCGTATCAGATTCCGAATTAAACGCAGAAAACTGTAGGCGTAAAAACATTTTTTAAAGAAATTTTTGAGCCAATGTTGCCTTTTAAGATGGCCTAACTAACCAGCAAAACTTTTAGAGAGAAAGTTTACTTTTAACCTTGTCTTAATTTTTGTACATACCCTTAATTCTTGAATGAAACATTTACAATCTTAACAATTTTGGTATTTTTCTATAAATTTACCATTATTTTATTTGTTTTTGCATTAAAAATTGTCACAATAAATTGATAAAAAAAATACTTTATTACAATTTGTGCGCACAACCTTTTTTAAAATAAATAATTAAAAATTAATTTTCGTAATGAATTTCTTCGAAGGATGTCTACGAGAATTTGCTAATAATTTATTTAATTTTCTGTTGATTAATTTAAATTAAAAACTGTCAAATTTATTTTTTCTAAAAGCGATGAAATATAAATTTTTTACTTTTTCGAGAAACTGTCACCGAAACTGGAATATAACATCGAGATTTGGCAGATCAAACAACAAACAAATCATGAAATCACCTAAAAAATAAAATCAGATGAAATCAATGAAAAAAAATGTATGAAGATGAGTCGAGCGATTCAATTCCATCCTAATTATTAAGTAAAATTAGTGAATTTCTGAAATTTATAAATCAAACTTCTCATAGATCAACAAATGGCTTCTGCTGATGAAACTTCAAGAATGTTTTTTAAATCTAAAAAAGGTTTTTTTTATCAGTCAATTAAAAACCAGTTTTCATTTTTGCATGTGTTTTTTATAGTTCAGTTCAAAAATTGTTGATTGTGGCTACAGTCATAAACTTAATCGGCTGGCTTTTTTCAAAAACACAATTGAATAATTATTAATTTTACATAAAAGGCTGATCAAATTAAAGAAAAATTTTTTTCTCCATCATCACAGACCCAGCCAGATTTTTACCACCTGGTCTGAGCTACCGGGGTAAGTTCATTGGGATTGAAAATGTGGCAGAACCTTGTGGTGATCAGTTGGATCGATTATGTCAAGTTAATTTTTTTTGTAAATTTCCTCTTTTTTGGCTACCCAACACCTTTTTTTTATTTGTACCCAACACCTTATTTGTCTGGATTAGTTAGAGGGCTTATAAAAGTCACATATTAAAATTTGCAGTACTAGAAAAGTATCATCCGGTGATTAATTTAAATAAATCTAAAAATATATGGATAAATTATTTAATTTCAATTAATACTTGAAAAAAAAATTTTAAAGGTTGCAATGGCAAAGATGAAGGCAGCCATCAAAACAATTGGTGACCACAAGAAGAAGATCATTATCAACATCTCAACTGATGGACTCAAGATACTGGATGACAGAAATGAGGTATGTTATTACTATTACTATTTTTGTTGTTGTTGTTGTTGTTGATAATGTTAATGATGTTATAAATAATGAAAATAATAATAATATTAATAATAATAGTGATGATAATTATCACAGGAGCTGATACTGGAACACGACCTCTCGCTCATCAGTTATGTAACGAGGGATGTATCAGACTCAAGAGCTTTTGGATATGTTAGAAGATTTTACTATTAATCATCGTCGTCGTCGTCATCATCATTACTATTTTCATCATCGTCATCATCACTATTATGTTGATTAGTCATTATCATTAAATTAACAACATCATCATCATTTTTATTATTATCATCGTCGTTGTCGTTGTTTGTTTGGCTACTAGTTGCTTATTTGTGTGTGTATGTGTGTGTGTGTGTCTCTGTATATGTTTAGGTATGTATGTTTAGGCTTATCGTTTGTCTGTCTGCCTCTACAGGTCTTCAACCACGATGACTACACACATGAGTTCTACGGAATTAAAACTGAGAAATCTGTAAACTTATTTTTATCCATATTACATCTGTTACTTGACTTGTTTTTACACATACATACACACACATGCACACGCACACATACACACACACATACAATACATCAACAACAATCTCATCAGCATACATACATACTTACATGCATGCATACATACATAAATACATACATACATACTCATCATTCGGACTCAGTGCATTTGCAATCATCAATTACTCTTCTTATTATATCTTAAATTCCTAAATTTAATTTGTACACACACACACACACACACACACACACACACACACACACACACACACACACACACACACAACCATATACCCATCCATAGTGTTATTTATAATCATTTGTCATTAATATTATCATCATTGTCATCATTAAGTTGCTGATAGGATTATTGTTGATGTAATTGTTGTTGGTAATGTGATTGTCGTTGATGTGAATGTTGTTGACGTGATTGTTGATGACGTCATTGTTCTTGATGTCTCTAGTCCGAAGGAATAGTTTCTCATCTGCAAGAGCTATTCACCTACGTCAACGAATGCAACAAACAACGACAACAACAGCAACAACAACATCAACGGAATGTTAGTTTATTGTTTGCTAGTATAAAATATTGAGTAAATATATAGAATAATTTTTCAACACAAAGTTTTAAAACTATTTTCATAGAACCAATTAAAATTTATTTTATTTTTGCACCTACTTTATACATATAATTATAAATATTATCTTATAATTTTGTTATAATTGAGTAAATATGAATGCATGAACTACAAACTCATTAGCAATGTCATTGAAACATTTATACTAAATAATAACAATAATGATTTTAATAAATAATAACTAAATAATAATAATCATGATGGTAATAAACGCTAATAACAACGACATTAACAACAAAAGATACATGAAGATCATCGTGATGGTTCGACCTTGACACTACCATCATCGTCGTTGTCGTCGTCATCATCGACTTACTACTCACAACAACAACAACAACCGACAATGACGTCAGCATCAACAACAACAACAATATCAGCAACAGTTAATGTGAAATCGAAAAAGAGTCCTTTGTTGTTTTATAGGTTGGTTGGCTAATTTGTTTGCTGTTGTTTACCTGCCTCTCCTATCTGTCTGTCTGTAAGATGTCTTTCTCTTTTTTTCTCTCCCTATCTCTTTCTCTCTCTCTTTGCTTGCACTGTAGAGTGTTTGTTTTTGTCATTAAAATATTTGAAAGGTTATTTAAAGATTTTTTGTTTGTTTATGTGTGTGAATGTATGCGCGCGTGTGTGTGTGTGCGTGTGGGTATGCGTGTGAGTATGTGTTTGTATATTATGTGTTTTAGATTTACAGTTCTTTCTGTTACAGTTGATTAATTAAATCTGACAACCAGCTTCTAACATGTGGGCTTATTAATTTTTATGCTTGCACATGCGTGTATGTGTTCTACGTTTCTATATATATACACACACATACAAAAATGACACAGATACAAACAATACATACGTACAAAAAATGGACATATAATCAAACGTACAAATATTTTGCGTATACTTTGCCATTCGAAATACAAATACACACATGCAAATACAAATATATTTACACATTCCCTCTCTCTTTTTTTCTTTTTCTCTTTCTTTCTTTTTTACACCCAAACGCACACATACAAATACTTTTTTACACACACGCACACATACAAATACTAATATACTCAGATACAAATACACACACACACACAAACTCTCTCTCTCTCTCTCTCACATACACAGGCACACGTACGCAGACACATACAAATACACACACACACACTCTTTCACGCACACACACGCTCACATTTATACACATACAGATTTGGGGCATCACTATCAGAAAGATCAGCCACTCTTTCACCTCGAAAACTGGTCAATTTTTTTTATTCGTTAATTAATTACTTAATTAATGTTATAATTGGCTAATTAATTAATTAATATTATAATTGGATTATGACTTATAAAGGTTTTATTAAGTAGTATACGTAGCAAATTATTTTTCGTGACTGTCAAATGAATGCTATACTATTATATGTTTTGATACTTGCATGATATGATTTTCTGGTTGCACTTCATGCATTTAGTTATTTTTTACAAAAATTTTCAGACCGGCTTCTCAACGTTTTACAGTAGGCAGAACACACTTCCTAGGCAACAACAACAACAGCAACATCGTCACACAACAACAACAGCAACAAAAACGTTACAGAACATTCCTTACCCCAACCAAACAACATCGTCATCGTCACCATCACCTCTGCGGATAACAGATTCAGAAAAATTCCGTCGACCAATCAACACTCGAAGTTCATCCTCGTCTTCCTCCTCGTCCAATCAGAACGCGAATTCACCACAGGGCAGTGGGCTAATGAAATCTCCTTTGTTCCTATTGGCTCCTAAAAAGTCCGTATCGTCAATTAACTCCCTACCCGTTATACCTTCCCCTCCCGAATCACCCTTGTCGAACAAGGCAAAAAATAAAAAACAAAATGGCGGAAGGAATGTCGATCAAAGTCTAGCCAATGCAAGCAATGAAAACATTGTCAAGACCAACATCACCACTAGATCTAGCAGTAGCAGCATCAAGGGCAAGAAAGTTTTCAAAAACAGGACTATAACTAGTTTCGATGAGAGTGAGGAGTTTAGAAATTTCGACGACGACGATGGTGATGGTGGTGATGGTGGTGGTGAGAAAAGTTGTAAAGGAGGCAGGAGTGGTGATGATGATGATGATGACGTTGGCGGCCAACATGAAACGTCATCAGACATCATTGTCTATAGGCACAAGTTGCAACCAATTCCAAACATCAATAGAAACTTCAATGGCAGTCATTTGCATGCCAGTAAGAAAAGAAACAGAAAAAGTAAAGGTACTATTTGTGTGTGTTTGTCTTTCTCTGTGTGTGTGTGTTTGTGCGTTTGTGTGTGTGTGTGTGCGTGTGTGTGTGTGTGTGTGTGTTTGTTACATGAAATACGAGGATGGGTGTGGTGATGAAGACGATGTTGATGGCCGATATGAAGATGAAAAGATGAATGAAAATAGTGATTATGTTCCTTATTTGATGTCATTATATTAGTTCAAAAAGTTTTGTCTAAATTTTGAAAAAGCTCCAACAGCTGTGCTGGATGAGTTCAATCATGAGGATAACACCGATAAGGGCAATGACAATGATGAATTTGATGGCGTATCTGATGACAAGATGCACCACGGCGATGACGAAGACGATGATGATGATGTTGATAAGTCTCATGACAAAAACAGCAGTAGTAGAGGAAATAATGATAAGGTCGTCATTAACACCAAGCCATCAACTTATGCATCGTTCAACGTAGCCGGTAACAACAATCAAGGAAATAATCTTCCAACTACAAAAACTGATGACGACGACGACGATGACGTTGCTGCAAACGATGACGATGACGACCAGAACTGGGCCACATTTGACGATTCCTACAGTTTTTCATTCGCCAACTGCACGACAAGCCACAACAACAGCAGCAGCAACGACAACAGCAACAACGCCGACGACTGTAAGATGAGTTTAAACGACGACGACGTAGATCAACACCACCAGCAACAACAACAACAACATTTTTACAACTGCCAAAACAACAACCACACAGCAACAACAACAACAACATCTAAAACTTCTCTCTCGAACACGAAAATGTTTCTATCATTTGGCGGCATCGACCCATTCCTTGACGATCCCTTCTTCACGAAGAATATGAAAGACTTCGAGTTGGACAGCGACATTTACAACATTGCACACGATCTCTCTAACTTCGCCGACAGCAATTCGCATGACTGTAACGACAACTCTTGGCTCTCTACTACCTCAAATAACAACAACGACAACGAATTTATCAATACTAAGCTGTCAATAAATAAGGAACAAACCAACAACGACTTGGAAAAAACATCTAGTAATAATATAATCAATGAGAGACATTTAGTTAAAACTGATGGCAGTAATCTCTATTCAAAGCCAACAACAACATCAACTTCAATGTCATCTTTGGCGGCGACAATAACAACGATTTCATCGGCTACAGCATCGTCAACGTCATCGGCCACGACGGCTGTCACCACAAAGTGGCAGTCGGCGTTCTCGGCCACACCTTCTGCTAGTGGCAGTTTTGACGATGTTTGGGTTGATTGCGAGCAGTTTTTCAATGATAGACCAACGTCAACAGTAGCAGCAACTACGCAACTCCACAGCAGCAAGTACAACAACGACAATGTTATTAACACTTGCAACGGTGATTTTTTTCATAATAGTTTAAATGATAATTTCAACAACAATAACCATATTACTACTACTGCTACTGCTACTACTACTAGTACTACTATTACTACTACTAATAATAATAATAATATTAATGATATTAATAATAACCATTATAATAATGATGATGATGATAGTTCTAGTGGGATTGTTCTAGGATTTGATGATGACTTTAGAGCCGTTCTCAAGAGTGCTACTGATGAAAGTGACACCCACAAACAAAATTATGGTAGCAGCAGTAGTAGTTATAATAATCATAATAATTATAATAATTATAGTGATAATTATGATAATAATAATAATAATAAATCTACTGAAGCAACGACATCCCAACAACAAGCTCTTGATGATGGCGATGTTTTTAATCCTAAAGTTGACAATTTTTCCAACAAAAATAATAACAATTGTTGCGATGACTTGCATTCGTCGCATCAACAAGAAATTGATGTCAGGAGAGATGTTAACGTCGGGACTTGTAACGAGGCCGTTGATGGCATTAATGATGCTATGAGACTTGGAAATCAGCAATGTGAAGATTCCACAATGTATAATTTTAATATTAATGATGGTAGTAGTGCGGCAACTGTAGGTCGCTTGACGCTTCAAGAACATTTTATATTTAATCGGCTCTCACAGCAGCAGCAGCAGTTTTTACTGCAACATTTCGTAGGAGATTATACATATCAGTTTCAGCAGCTGTGGCCGCTGCAGCAACAACAACAGCAACCACAACTGCAACCACAACAGCAGCAACAACAACTACTACAACAACAGCAATATTCTCAACAACAACAAATACTCGACAGGAGAGATCAATTTGAGTCATCTTCGTTAATAAGCACTAAGTCAACTTTACCAGCAGTACTACAAACAACAGTTACTTCACCAGCAACAACTGTGGTGACGTCACCAGCAGCAACTATGGTGACCTCACCAGCAGCGACAGTTGTGACGTCATCACCAACGACAGCAGCGTCTTTATCGACCACAATTCTGAGTGACTTTCCATCTCCCGACATTCCACCGCCGCCACTACCACCGGAAATCCTCCAGCAGCCGATCCAAACGCCACCTCCACTACCACCTCGCAAACCTCTCCACCAGATGACACTAATGCGTCAACCCAGAAAAAGTAATAACACTGACATCAATAGAAACGATAACATTAATACCGATGTAATGAATTACTCCACACAAACTCTGGACCGATCCATTCTGCAGAGAAGGGGCGTTCAGCACGTTGACGGTGCTTCAAATATTAATAACATTGGATTGAGATTTGGAAGTGGTTTTGATCATGTTCAACCAGATTGCAAGCATGATGAAAATATACAACAACAGAAACAACACAAGAACCCTAATTTAGAAGCACAAAATTTCACACAAGACAACAGCACACAGCCTCAAGCCCAGCAGTTCTTGCAGCGACAACAACGACAGCAGCTGCCAAAAAAGTACGACGTCGAAAGCATCTTAAAACTGTATGGAAAGCCGTTTATAATTTCAAAACCGACGATATCAGATGAACCAATATATGGAAATTTGAGCACTGCCAGTTACAACGACAAACCTGGCTATAGCAGGAGCGATAATGTCAGCCTGAACAACGAGAGTAGCACTCTTAATGATGATGACGGAAGCGTCAATATTATGACGTCATCATCGTTCTTGACGTCACCGCCATCCTCCTCTTCATCATCATCATCATCACAGATTAGTTACAGTTGCAACACTCCATACAACATCCACTCGAGTAACATGATGTTCACCCACTTTCAAACAACGTTCTCCCAGAATAGAACTTCAACAACTATAAAACCACCACCACCATCATCATCACTGCCACCACCACCATCATCATCATCATCACTGCCATCGTCATCATCATCTGCATTTTTGACGTCATCACCATCTTATCCGTTATATTCATGCACACCGATTTCAATGCACTCTGACCATCATCCAATGACGTCATCATCGCTATCATTTACATCATCATCATCATCAAACATTGTTGATGTATTCAGTTATGGAGATAATCACCGCCATCTTCATTCTCATCGTCATTACCATCCAACCTCTTATCACGTAACATCGTCATCATCTTCGTCGTCATCTTCTAATGAATATTCATCGAGGCTGCAGCTGAGATTCGAGCAAATAAATGAAATAGAGGCTGACGACTTTTTTCCTTATGGTGATAAGAATGGTGACGATTGTGGCGATAAAAACAAACAACAACAACTAAACGAACAATTTTATCAACAACAACAACAACTTAATGAACAATCTTATCAACAACAACAGTATCAACATCTTCAATATCACGAACGACAATTTTATCAGCAACAACATCAGCAACCAATCTTTAACCAGCAGCAATACCAGCAACAACTCAACATCCAACATCAACAACAACAACAACATCAACAATTTATCAGAAGCAACAACGTGTTTAATAGAGGATTAAATTGAATTTATGATTACATTGGATGTTAATTGAATTTAAATTAATTGAATTCAATTCGGTTGAGTTTAGCTAGTCAGTTTTACGTTGTCTCATTTGGAAAATGAATTATTTCTTTTCTGTCTCTCTCTCTCTCTTTCTCTCTCTCTCTCTTTTATTCTCTACACATGTGTTATTTCATTGCAGTGTTCTATTGTATAACGTCATTTTATTAATCCTCTCTTGATGTTCCATTATCATCCTCCATTCCTCAAACCTCAAACTCTTAAAGATTCATAATTATTATATTTAATAATTATAATTAAAAATAGTAATAATGATAATAATTATTATAATTATTACTACTAATAATAATTGATTTATAATAAAAAAAAACAATTTTCAATATAATTTTTAGTAAATTAAATTTAGATATTCAAGACAGTTCATTTGCTGGTTTGCCTGGTTGGCTAAATAACTAAGATCTTCTGGATTGCTTGTCAGCTAAAATAACACGCGCGCATACACACATATACATACATCACACATACACACATATACATACATCACACATACGCACATACATCACACATACGCACATACATACACACATACATACATGCATACATACCTACAAACGTACATACAAACGTACATACAAATAAACACAGATATTTATTTGTGATTGTTGGTATATGTTGTACTCTTGCTATTGCGCTTGTATGTTTTCAAATTAATACTGTACAATGTACAGCCTCTATGAACGTTTTATTTTTGTTTTTTAGTCCTACATTAGTATTATTTCAGAGTTTTATTTCTGTGTTGTTTTTTTTCGTTTAAATATTTAATACATTTTTCATTTGTTTCGAATAATTTCATTTATTAATCTGTCAGTCATTCATTTGTTTATTCATTTGTTCGCTTCTTCATTCATTTATTCATTCATTCATACATTCATTCCTTAACTCGTTTTCATTGATTAACTATTTAAGTTTGATAATAATTGTCACTATTTTATTATTATTATTATTAAAAACGAACCCGGTTTTCGCTGTATTTTCTGGAGTAGTGGTGAGTTAAATTGATAAATGGGGGACCAAGTCTTATTGCTTTCTTCTCCTCCTTCGAATTTGATCTTGGTTTATTTGTTGTTTTTTTTTGTTGCATGTTTTCATTTCATGTTTTCTTACTTCATTTTACAATTTTGTCATCATTTTTCTATGTCAATCTTTTCAAAATTGTATATGTAACTGTATATATATATATATATATATCATGTATCTATGCCCACAGGTATGGAAACTGATTTCTATATCTATGCGCATAGAAACTAATTTATTTATCTATGCCCCGCTCATGCTTTCGGGTTAATCTTATTATGAAAAATAAGATAGGGCAAATCCAGTCTAAAAATTCCTCCTTTAAAACATTTCATAGTTAAATTTTAAAATTAAGATACTTCGATTTTGTTTTTTATCTTTAAATTTATATATATATATATATATATATATATATATATATATATATATATATATATATATATATATATATATATATATACAATACACACACGTGCACACACCAAACATGTACACACACACATGTACACACACCACACACGTTTTTAAATCTGGATTCCGTATTTTACTAATTCTTCCTTGTTCATTGAAATATTGTATTCGTTGATATTTTTTTTGATTTATACATTCTGCCAAGCATCATCATCGTCGTCGTCGTCGTCACTTTGAAAAATCGTTAATAAATTTGAATTTTTCTATACATATTATATTGTTAATATTACTCAAGATATATGAACAACAACAATAATAATATGTTTTTTTTGTTATTACTTATATTGTTACTAGTACTTAATAAGTAATTCTACAGTAAATCATGTATTTAATTTTCGTAAGCTTAAATGGCTGTTAGTTTAGCAGTATTTTTTTAGTCATTCGTTTGTTTACTCGTTCTCTCATTTTTATATTCATTTATTCAATCAGTCATTCATTCAATTATTCATTCAATCAATCAGTCATTCATTCATTCATTCATTCATGCGTTTATCTATTCACTCATAAATTCTTTTGTCCTTTCATTTTATCACGTAGTCGTACACTTACATATTCTTTCATTCATTCACTCAGTCACACACATTCCTTTATTCATTCATTCATTCATTCATTCATGTACTCATTCATTCATTCACTCTTTTGACGTCGTTGTTTTCTGTTAAATGCGCGTTGCTCATGAGTCTATCTTTCTATCATAATTTTTTTGTTCTGTGGAAATTTTATATCCATAAACCTGGTGCAATAAATACGTACTTACATACAAACTCACCTAGGTGCATACATACAAAAACTTACACACACACGCACGCACGCGCACGCAGACAAATGACTCTCTACGCGAAACCCATAAACCAACATTAACAAGCGAGTTGGGGCAAAATGGTGACCATGGGTTCGTATAACATACACGCAGACATACATACATACATACACACACACGTATATACACACAAACATACATACATACACACATACATACATACAATACATACATACATAAACACATACAAACGTTTCTTTTATAGCAGTCGTTTTTTCGAGATTTTCATTCTACTTTGTTCAAAGCCAAATCTTATTTATAAATCGTTTAGAAGGTTTTCTTTCTCTATCTCAGATTGTAAAAATGTTTTGTAATGAATTGATGAAAATGTATTGACATGTTGTAATTCTTTAATGTTATGCAAATGCAGGAAAGTTAATGTCATCTGGTTAATTAGTTTCATATAAATGCGATTTAATGCTTTGATAGAATTTATTGATGAGTTGACGGTACGTTATTAATGTATTTTATTGTCATGAATTGATGTTATGTAATCTCATGAATTGATACACTGTAATGTCGTGAATTAATGCATTGTAATGATTTGGTATTACATTGTAATGCTACTTGTAATGTAATTTTGGTATTAGAAACGCATTTAAAAACCGTCAAACTCATTTTGAAAACTCATTTCAGCCATTTCATTGAGTTATTATATATTTCATGTATTAGTTCATTCATTCTTTTATTTAATTCGTCTGTTTATTCATTCATTCTATTCATTCAGTCATTCATTCATCCATACTATGTGGTTGTTAGTATTGTGTTCAGTCATTCACTCATACGTTTGTGTATTCATTTATCTCGCGCGTTACTTTACACACACACACACACACACACACACACACACACACACATATATATATATATATATATATATATACATACATTATTTATTTTATCTTTGAATAAACAATAAATTCGTTAATTAGAATTTGTTTTTATTTTAACTCACAGTAATTGGAAGAAAACAAAACAAAAAACATTCACTAACATTAAACAAACAATGATCTATGTAACTAAATTTAGCGCTATAACATTTTTCATAGTTTAATTTAGATACATTTAGATTGATTGATTAATTAATTAATTAAACAACAAATTAATTTAATTTTCAATTTAAATTACAACACAATCAGTGATCGTGAAACTCATTTGAATAAATAGAGCAAGACAAAAAGGTACGTATTAATTTACACACATACATACGAAACACATAAATTCAAATAATTAATTAAATAATCCTAATTAATATTAATGAGCCCGAATTGGGTATCAAGACAACCTAATTAATATTAATGAGCCTAAACTGGATACCAACCGACCATCCTCATTAATGTTAATAAGGTTTAATGGACGCTAATAACTCCTAGACTATGAGTTTTAAATTAATTATTATTAAATAATTTAATTTAAATAATTTTAATAAAAATAATAATTTAAATAATTAAATAATATTAATTATTAAATTAAACAAAGGAAATCCTATTATCTTCATACAAAACTTAACTAATAGACAACTTTGCTACACGTGAAGTCGTCAGCAATGAATGGATTACATTATAAACGTCAGATTTATGAGAAAAAACTTCGAATAAAAACTTCGAATAAATAGACAGTTAATATATATATTAAATAAATAAATTTCCTATAATTCAATTGAAATTTTTTACAATTTTTGTTCATATAACACAATAAAATAAAAGAATCTAAATAATGGTAAATGTTCTATATATAACACTTACAACAAGTGTCAGTTCAACTATATAGTAATCTAACATGAAAAATCCTACACACACACGCACGCACGTACACACACACGTACACACACACACGCACACACAAATGTTTTAATATAAGCGTTATCTTATTAATTTTAAAATAAAATTCTTGATAAAGTACAACAAAGAAAAAAACACACCTTGACATTCAAGAAGAGGATAAAATTGAAAAGGATTTATCGGAAAATAAGCTAAAAAAGTGATTAAAAAATGATCAATTACAATTAATTATTACAATATTCTATTATATAAATC